GAAGATGGTGGAGAGTTTTGACCAGTTTCCCCATCACTTGATTTAATATTAATGATGTTTGGGACTTGCACATTGGGGCATGAAGCCTCAGATGTTTCTGTTATAATGAGAGCTCCTGCAGGTGGATGAAAACTGCAGTTGCTCTAGAATTACATAAATTAAGTAGAAACGCTTCATAAGTCCAGTTTGTTGTAAAAACAATCTGTATATGTTGCAAACTTTGTCTCAAGCGAGGAGACCGGACCCCTTTCAGTACCGACACTTCTTTAAGAATGCTGTTCACAAACTAGTCGGCAACAGCTGCAGACCAGTGGGATGCTAGTTTGAACACAATCTTAATCTTTAAAACCTTAACAGTTCAGTCAATCACTACTTTAAAAACATTTACACCACAGTTTACTTTGCATTACTTTTACTATTATGCAATGGAAACACCTTCGGATTAGACTTCCACTGAGCCTGTTCAAAACTACAGGTAAGATTTGTTCCTAATCTTTTTCTAGAACCCCACTTTAAAATGTCTGAACTATACCTTTAAGTGTCCTCTAAGTGAAATTGGGCCCCGAGTTAAAAGAGCGAGTTAGTGTTTCTGAGCAGAGTCCTGAACGGACTCTAATGGACTTATGGAGCCTAATCCACAGTAAACCTGACAGGACACAGCCCTCCTCTGAAGACTGATCTCAGAGCTCACCCTCAGCTCATCACTCTTTAGCTGCTTGTAGGGAGCTTGTTACTGACTGTCCTGTTAGCAAAATATCTAATGAATCAATTAATAGATTTTAAAGAAACGTTGGGAAACTATTCACTGGGTAAACCTCTCCAAATGACTAACTTTCAGGCACACTCTCTTCAAGATGGCCACCACAGCAAGGCACTCTTTGCAACACAAAAACAGCTGAATATGTGAAAAATGTCTTCGGTCGCTGAGACTAATCCCCAACATGTGCTTTGAGCACGAAGTGATTAAATGAGAACTGTTTAAAACAAGCATTACTTATTGGAATCAAACCTTTGTTAGCAAAATTTCTCAGACATCAATGGACAAATCTGAATGAAACTGGAAGTACACGTACAACTGTTAAACTCAACCCAGATCAAGACGACAGCCACAATTAGCTGAGCGTAGAAAACATTGCATCGGCTTTAACGTCTTAAGAAACTGAGCTAAAATGTAGTTTAGAGTGCAACTCACATGTCAAGCGCACAAATCTTTGCTTCAAATGTAGCAATAATCATTGTTTATCTCAAACTACTAGATGGTCTTTCATGAATTTTAAACTAGAATTAAATAGCTGTATATCTACAACCCAATTCAAGATGGCTGCCACAGCTTATTGACCTTTTCTGTTTACACCAAAATGGCTAAAACTTGTGAATTTTACAGACTATCATAAAATTTGATATGGTAGTAGCTGAGAGTTATTAACAACACATACTCCAAGTTCCAACAGATCATGTGAATAATCAAAAATATTATATTAAAATGCAGTTATTTTCAAGGTTTGAGGAAAACAGCTATAGGTCTCATTTCTCAAGATCAAATTACTTTAGTTTAAAACTCCGTATTAATGTAGGTGAGTGACATGCATTCCTTGAAACAATGTTGAGTTTTTAATAAACTACAGAGATAATTTTGTGCAGTGACAAATGTCGAAAGGTTTGTGTAAATGAGAAGCATTCTGTTACCAGGACACAAAGTCAAGTGATCCAGAGCTAAACAAACATCTGCTGCGTCAGAATCCCTAATCCACTCAGCTCTTATTGCTCCTTTTACATCAGACTCAGTCTGGTCTTCTTCAGGTCTCAGTCAGAACACGGGGAACAACACAGCACAATGACAGCTTTGCTAAAGGTTTTTAATGATGATGAAGCACTGGATGCTAAGGGTTACTGTGCTGCATTTATTTAGACCTGTCTACAGCTTTTGATACTGTACATCATGACATCTTATGTCATAAGATCTCAGAGATCGGTTCAGATCACACACACTGTTGGCTAGTTTTCCAACTATCTAACAGGTTAGAGGTAATGCGTACAACACAATGGTAGTTCGTCTAGCTATTTAGTGGCCACTAATGGTGTGCCACAAGGCTCAATTATAGGACACACTCATTTTACAATTTATGTATGTAATGTAGGACAAAAGCATTCCTGATGCCTCTTGGCATCTCTATGCTGACAATACAATTGTTTATTGTTGAGCTAACACTTGCCAAGGTTTTCCAGCTTCTACAGTCTGCATTTGACATCATTCATTCAGACTTATTCCATCTCCAACTGGTTCTAAATGCTGATATAACCAAAGGGACGTTGTTTTCCAACAGAAAGTCGGTGCTAGCAACTCTTCCTCCTGTCTCATACATGCATGGAGCTCCTACTAAGTTTGTGGACTCTTACAAATACTTGGGAATTTTAATTGATGCATATCTTTCTTTTATTCATCCATTCAACTTTTATTTAGACAGATAAGTCACATTGAGCCTAGAATACTCATTTACAAGTGAGATCTGTTCAGACAGACAAAAAGTAGTGAAACTGGACACATGTAGGAATTGGAGGCAAAAAAATCCCTATCAGACTTTTTCTTCTTGGCTGAGAAGAAAAACTCTAATATTAAAAAACACCTCGCACAAACAAGCACATAGTGACGTAGACATTCCACAGAGGAGGGAGAGCGGTGAGCAATGTCTTTGGAGGCTCTCGAGGGCACTGTAAGAGTTCTGATAAGGATGGAATAATCAACCACTTTCCTCCGGTGAGATCCGTAAACATTCTTGAGGGATGTGGAGGAATGCCAAGGACAAATCAAGAGGCCTGAAATGATGAATCAATGTTTAATCAGCTGGCTTCCTCTTTGTTATCAGTTGGAAATTCCTCGGGGGTGGTGGTGAACATCAGATCACATGTTCTCCAGGCGAATTCAGATAAGATGGCCTTCAAGGCCAGCCAGAGGAGCCAAATTCAGATAAACACACAGTTGTTTTAGGGACAGGCAGAGCTTAATGACATCTACCTTGAGTTGGTCCACTTGGTTCCAAAATGTCCAAATTACATGGCCACACCGATGGAACGTGCCTGAGTAAAATCCCCAAGATCTGATCCATTCTGCCCAAAGCATATGAGTCTGGGTACTCGAGGCACAAACCAAGCCTTCATAAAGGCAAGCAGCGTGATTTGCTGCCGACGACTTCCTTGATTGTAGATAAAACCAGAAACCAGCTGAATCCAAAGAGCAGGAAACAGTTATCATAAATCCAATTAAATATGCATCCTTAAAATCCACAGATGGCAGCAGAGAATAGACACATCATCAAGTCGATGGGATATCCAGCTGCGTGCGTGCCAACAGGGCAAATCGGCTCGCCTAAAGCCTGTCTTCTCTTCGAAAAAATGTTATCAATTGTGTCGAGGGACGAACTGATCAAATCAAGCCCATAATTATGGTTCGGAAGAAATGCAAGAGAGGCTCAGAAGCAGTTTCACAGACAGACAGAGCAGCAAAGCAAAGCGGAGAGGGAGGGGAGGGGAAAAGAGTCCGACCTCGACAAGCGCAAGTGAACCACATATTGAAAACTTGATAAAGTGAAATTAAAACTGGGTTTATTTTTCAGAAATAGATCTTGCTTAACTCTGAATGATAGAAAACACCTTGTAACTGCAACTTTCCTACCAGCCATTGACTCAGGTGACAATATTTACATGAATGCTGCTGCCAGCTGCTTGCAGATGTTGGATGTTGTCCACCATGGCACGCTAAGATTCATAACTGGTTGTAACTACCGTACCGTCACTGCACCCTGTACTCACTGGTCAGTTGGTCATCATTAGCTACACGTAGTCTCACACTGGTTCATGTTAATCTATAAATCCCTCCTTGGTCTGCTGCCTTCTTATATCTCCTCCCACTTGTCATGTCGTCAGTGCAGTTACAGCGTGCGCTCCCAGGCCATCATTACCTGCAGCGTTCTCTCAGTGCAGACTGAACTCGGCAGAAAGGCCTTTTCCTACTCAGCTCTTGCAACCTGGAACACCTGGCAACAAGATCTGAAGCTGTCCACTTTGACCTCTTTAAGGGATTTTAAACATTTGATAGGGTCACTAGAAAAATAGAAGCAAATGTTTTTCTTTTTAGTATTTTACCTTGTTTTTATGACACTTTGATTTTATTGTTTTATTACACTAGTTTTTTTAATTCATTTAATTGTTGTATATTCTTGTTTATTGTACTTTTTTGTTGTCTGTCTAAAAAAGGTAATCATGCTGTTAATCAGCATCTTGATATGCCACACCTGTGAGGTGGATGGATTACCCCAACAAAGGCTCACTAACCCAGATTTACACAAAGTTGTGAACAATATTTGAGAGAAAAAGTATATACATGGCATATACATGTGACACTTTAAAGTCACTACATTCATGCCACAGAATTTAACGTGACCGATAAGACTGAGGCAACCTGGAGTTGACGAGGATAAGGCTTCGATGCTGGTGTGTCAGACATGCAAAGAGAAGAGGCGTAGTTTTTATAGACAAGTCTCCAACATACTACTCAAAAGTAATGCAGATATGCAAAAAGGAGAAAAACGTTATAATATTTAAAGGTTTCATTGATGAAACTTCATTACTGATATGTTTTTAATTAAGTTTGGCTAAACTGCATAAGCAGTATCCAACAACGTTAAGTCTGGACTTCTTTTGGATGTAAAAGAAGTCTTAGTACATAATCAATCATACATTTATATTATGAGCACAGTTACATCTCCATTTTCCATTAAAACATCATCTTTACCAACAGAATGTGTTCAGTCAATTTTTAATTTAGCAAACTAACCCAAAGTGCTACACCACTGACCTACTGGGGTTCAGGGACAGTAACAGCTGTAGAACAAAGGAAACTCATTTTACAGCTACATTGACGTGCACTTCGTGAAACCTTTACATCACCAGAAACAGTCAACGCAGCTCCACAAATTAGAGTCAGCACAGGAGTGGGACGTCACCTGATGTTGGAGGCTTGTTCAGTGAACTCTGTGGCCACAAGAGAGAAATACTTCCTCATCGTGATCCAAAGGCTGGATTTGGGGATGCAGCCATTGTGGGCATGGATAGCATGGATGCGAGCCATTTCCCTGGCTATCAACCTGAGAGAAGGAGAAAAGAGCGGCTGGTCAACAAGACCACATTTCAAAGTATACTCACTACAAGAAGAGCATAACAAAAACTTCTTTGGTCTGCTATGATAACGTAGTACTGCTCCAAAGGACGTCACGCTTACAGACAAAGAAAGTGAGCAGTTGGTTAACTTGCCATGGCGAGGTGCTCATCTCATCCATGATTTTTGTTGATGGGGGGGACGGAGACATGTCTGAGCACAGCTTGTACCAAGTTTTTGAGCGAGGGCAGCGGGGGGGCATTCAGCATGAGGGAAGAGGCAGCTTTAGCTTTTTAGCTAGAGTGACTGTATTGCACGCCGCTAGCTTAGCGCTATGTCAGTGCCGGGGGTGGGGTCGGTTTGGTAGGTGGGGTGCTCAGTTCTGTTGACGGGTGGGGCACCCCGCTTGTATAATGGTGGGGAAACACTGGTGAGGGTTATAATCTATTTTAAGATGCATTGTATCACGGACATGAAAGATTCTGAATCAACTTTCAAATGTTAAAACAGATTTTGTTGACTATATTCTGCACAGCCACTTAATGAACGTTAGCAGCGTAGCTGCTGCTCAGTTCTGTTGGGCTTGTACAGGTTCTACTGGCCATGTCAAGTTATCGTAGCTTGTCTGGTATACCATACTTTACAGTGTATAAAGCGCACGTGACTATAGGCCACTCACACTAAATTTAAAAAGATAAATAATTTTGTACATATATTGCTTGTATACAAGCTGCAAGTGTTCACGTCGTAACATGAGCGGCAGCACAGCTACTGACAGATGTGCAGCTCTGGTTGTAGATCAACAATCAACCACCAGATGGCGTTTTATAAACTTTATCTTACTGTTCAACACACACATTCATTCAACCTTTATTTATACAGGTTAATCCCACTGATACAGGTTAATCCCACTGATACAGGTTAATCCCAGTGAAACACAGACAGAGTGAACCCCCCCGGTGTTCATGACAACTACCTCCCTCACTCATGGTTACTCTACTGAATGGCCGAACACAAACTAACACATGATAAACACATAAACTAGGCTAATAACAGACTAACCACTAAAAGAACAATGCTAAACAGCTAACTGAAATGATTAACATTGAACATAAATTATACCCATAATCCCTCCCTGAGACCATCTGACCACAATGGACCACAGAATGCTCCAGTATGTACCAGTAACATACACAAATATGTTAGTAATTCTTTTTGTGAACAGTGCTGGTAACACGGCTTATTTAGAAAAACTAGAGTAGCCTACCAGGAAGTCATTGATCACTGTATTTCTCCTGCTGCAAGAGGAGAAATACCCCCCGGTTTCATTGGTTCGACTGTGGCCTGTTCAGTCATTTCAATGGTCAGGTTTTTATTTATTTTCACCTTTATTTATACAGGGAGTCTCAATGAGTTACCAGGACCCACCCTCCAAGAGGGACGTGCATCGGGCAGTTATGCAAGTGCTCGAGTGTGATGATGCTAAATGTTTTTGGTGGCCTGAAGTGCGTCAGCAAGTCAGAAAAAGAAAAGAAAATAATTTAAATCCATAAATCAGCTGCAGCCAATGTTTAAGCTGCGGGGTTCAAAGCCTGTGCAAAAAGTAACGGCTTACAGACCAGAAAGTACAGTAGGCATGTTGTAATCGAGCCACGTTCTCATGTTCTCATTTAGATCCTGGAGAGCCAACACTTCCTGTTTGGTCAAGGCCCACCAGCATCTCTACTTCCTCAGAAAGCTGCGGACAGCTGGACTTGGGAGCTGTGTCCTCAGGAGCTTCTATCTCTGAGTGCAGAACGTTCCCTGCACCTGCATCGCCGTGTGGCACGGCAGCTGCACAGCTGCTGAAAGGACGGCTCTGCAGAGGGTGGTTAAGGCTGCACAGAAGACTGTGGGGAGCAGCCTTCCCACCACCTCAGACCTCTACACTTCACAATGCAGGGGGAGGGCGCTCTGCATCATGAAGGACTGCACTCATCCTGCACACAGTCTGTTCCAGCCCATTCCCTCAAGCAGGCAGCTGAGGAGCATTCAGAGCAAGACCACCAGGCTCAGAAACAGTTTCAGCTGTCAGAGTTCAAATTTCGTACCGTAAAACAGACAAATGTGAGCTGGTATGACAATAAAAATTACCTTGAGTCCTTATTTGGCACAACCATGTCTCCTCACATCTGTGCTAATTGTTGGACTGCAGCCTGGCATTGCTTTCTGATGGCATACATCATTGTGCAATCTTTATTAGCTATGGAAATTTATAATTCAGTGTTTATTTAAGGAAAAAAATGGTCAGTTTAATTTGAAAACTTCTGTTTATGTCTATGAAGTTTTACTTTTGTTTAGATGAACATCATAAGCTCACCTGCTGCCTCCTGATATTTATTCACAAAACTGATATTCAAGATGTGATAAGAATCCTTTAACTGCATCACTACTCTAACACGACTGTCATGAATTGTGTGGCGCCTAAATGTTCCAACCCCTCCACAAACTACTGAAATAAATCAAGCACACATCCTCCATACTTCCAAATCTGTAACGGACTACAAAATGGTCTAAAACTTGGCTATTCAACTGGTGGCCCGGGGGCCAAATCAAGCCCAACAGGGAGTTCAGTTTGGCCCACCAATGGGTTCATGTTTAAAAAAAAACTAGATTTGAAACCATAAAACAAACTTACCGGTACTTAATGACAATAACTGCTGGATGTCCAGCCCCTGAGCTCTTGGCTTTCAGTAACTGTGGCCGCCTGAACAATTTAGTTGAATAGCCCTGGTCTAGAAATATTTCAGACATGATTCCAGGATGGACCCTCCAATCATACAACCAGTGTGTAAAATTATCTGCAGAAAGCCGACACCAAAAAAGCTCGATCTACTCTTAACCAAACGTTTAAAAATATTACAACTGAGTTTAATTCTGACCGAAGCAAGGTTGGATCTCGAACATCCTGAGGCCGGAGAGCATCTCCCTGCATGAACTCATAGCAGATGCCATTTTGAAAAGTGCAGTAGAGGCGTGGAGCACAACCGTTAGCATGCAGCACCTGGAGACGAGGTCAGAGAGAGAGAGAGAATTTAGATCAGAGAGCTTATTCTGAAACATCCGATGATTCCCTGAGGTAAGCTCAACAACACATCAACTTTACCTGAAAGCTTCTGAGCTCATTATCTCTGTCCACAATTAGCTCTGTCTTGTTTCCATACACTCGGACCAGGACCACATCCTCAGGACTGTCATCCACATAGCAGCCCACTAGCTTGTTGGTGGTTCCATCAGTGAAAAACTGGAAGAGGAAGAACCGAAACATGAGTCCACATACTGCAGTGGCAGCACAAACATGACTGGTAATGGTCTTTAGACTGACCCACAATAGAGAATTAAGACTTACAGTACTGGTTACGGAGCAAGCAAAATGATCAACGTACTGGAATTACTGTTTATACTAGAACACTAGTGGGTTTTCTCTGGGTACTCTGGTTTCCTCCCACAGTACAATAACTTGCCTGTTAGGCTGCCTTCAGACCCAGGCCTCCCTTTCAAGAGATGTGACCTCAGCAGGTTGAAAAAGCTTCACAAATTAATAAATAAAACTCTTAATTTATTGTGTAGTTTTTCTAGATACCTTTCTATTGAACTTTTGTAATCAACGAACCTTCTTGGGTTTGTTCAGTCATACACTGAGATATAAATAAATTCCATCCATCCATGGATTATCTTTACTTGCTTCTTCCTTTTCGGGTTTGTTGAACCCAACTCTGCTGCACTGTATGGCAGGTGACATAATCAAGACAGAAAGGGACACCAAAGCATCCCAATCACCGGGTATGAAAGGGCTGCTGCTGCTGGTGGTAGAGCTTTTAAATAAACTTGCTTTTTTCTTAAACTGCCATTAGTGCCAAAAGAAGACTCGCAGATCTGACCTGCATGACATAAGGTGTCATAAAAAAAGTATGTGTACTCAGCATCATGCGAGCCTTCAGCCCTCAGATATCATCTCAGTGGAGAAGTTGTACTGGTGATTACATAATGCACAGCCTTTCTGACGCATGGTCTTAAAACTGATGAACAAACTGCTGGTAAAACCTTGATAGGATGCACAGCAATGTTTCTTTTATTTTTATCTTCTCCAACTAGAAAAACCACTCATTAACATAAAAATGGATGAAGAAACTCCTTTAACATCCACTGTTAAAAAACTACAGCCAAAATGATAAATTCTTGGTGCCTGCATCTCTGACGCTCACGTCTGACATTCCACACATGGTTGACCACAAAGACCGATGCACAGAAATCCCTGCTATGAGGGAACAGTCCTGTCCTTCAACAAGAACGATCCTAAACCACAATACACGCTAAAGATCTGCCATTGATACAGCCACAAAACGATAAGCTTGAACTCAGGCCCTGTCCACACGGTAACACCGCCTTTCCAAAATTATTGTTTTCCTCATAAACACGTCACAGTTAGTAGAAATGTTTATCCACACAGAAAATAATGCAAACGATAGCTGGTAACAAGTGTGTTACACACAGCCATCAGGTGTGTTACACACAGCCCTCAAGTGTGTTACACACAGCCATCAGGTGTGTTACACACAGCCATCAGGTGTGTTACACACAGCCATCAAGTGTGTTACACACAGCCCTCAAGTGTGTTACACACAGCCCTCAAGTGTGTTACACACAGCCATCAGGTGTGTTACACACAGCCATCAGGTGTGTTACACACAGCCATCAGGTGTATTACAAACACACCTGATGGCTGTGTGCTCCTGGAAATGACAGATTTCCAGATGATTGTGAAAATGCTGCACCTGGCAACAGGTGACTGCTGTTTAGCCAGAGACCAGTTTGAATCCACTCTGGTGACCACCTGACCCAGTCCGTCGCAGGTTGTAAGTTGGTGCTTTAATCTTTGTATCTGTGTGGAGCAGCTTGACAGCAGACACCAGGCTGCAGCAAGAACAGCTAGAGGTCCATGCACTGTCTGCAGAATCACTGCATTTCACTGTGTGAGTCAAAGTGGAGGAGCAGGTGAAGGACGGCTGCTCCTCTGAACTTCAGCTGTTTTCTTGTCTAGTTTCAACAAACAGCTGAAATTCAGAGCAGCTTTAGGTTTTGAAGGGTTCAGCTTGTTGACAGTGAAACTGACAGCATGTGGGGGGGAAGTGAAGCTGGTGGTGCAGGGTTTGTTAAACACATGGACTTGTTTCCACGGCCTCGTCCTGCTCGTGCGTACAGCTGTCAGTCTCAGCTAGCCCAACTAGCATTCAGCTAGTTTCGTGGAAGTTTTACCTTCGTGTTGACGCTGCTCGGCTCCCACGACGGTCTCAGTTCCTTAATGAGCTGTAAAGCTCCCTCCGTCACGTTGTGTTCATCCACAAACACGTGGATTTTCCTGATTACCGGCGAGCCGACGGGCACATGTATCTGCGTCTCCATCCTGCGGCAGTTTGCTCTGAAACCGTCACCTCCGCGCTCTTCACGCAAATGTCTACAAACTGAATCATTCAAGAGAAGTTGATGCTTTTTAGCTGGTTAAATAATGTCAGACACCGAAGTTTTCCTCCACACACTTCTCTCTGTGTCTTCAAAACAAGGATAGTAGCGTTGAACATTACCAGTGCACGAGCTGCCTGCTGTGGATGCTCTTCGAGCTGTACCGTTTCCTCCCACTAAGCTCCGCCCACCTGGGGATCATCCGAGACGCACGACTTTTTCCGAGCGTGTCCGAGGGTTTCCGAGCGTGTCCGAGGGTTTCCGAGGGTTTCCGGGTTGAGCCGATCCACAGTGAAACTCTTATTTTACCCGAAATATCTCGTTTTAGTTGAGTACTCTAAAGAACTCGACCAACAAAGACAGCAGTTAATTAAGCAGACAAGAACAAATGTTCTTATCGCTCGCGCTGGAAAACCCAAGGCAGAAAAAAATCCCCCCCCCCCCCCCCGCCGTGCATTCATTCAACCTTTATTTACAATCCAACATTTTTCAGTCAGGTCATCTGGACAGTTTTTTTTTTGTGTGTGTGCTGAAACATTTCACCTTCCATCCAGAAGGCTTCATCAGCCAAGGAAACACACAACACAAAACTGATTCTTCCCCCAAACCCTCTATACCTGGATTAGTGAGCATGGACTTTGTTGGTTTATTTATGCAGGTTAGTCCCATTGACTCTAGAGGACTCATTTACAAGAGACCTGATTTTAACAAAGAATGATGACAACAGTGGACAATCATAAAATAAAGCTTATAAATTGATAAGAACAAATGAAAGAAAATGGCGTAAAAAAACCCCGAAACAAAAACAGCTAGATCGTAAAGCAATGTATAATATTAAAAACAGGAACATGTCTGCTTTGGTTATTGCCATAAACTTTGAGTTTGAGTTTAACTTTATTGAACGTAGTATAATATAAGAATTAACAAAGTTATATAAAAAGAAAATAAATTTAAAACAAAAGCAAGCTGAATTAAAAGGAACAGTAATATAGTATATTTATAATAATAATAATAATGCATTTTATTTGAAGGAGCTTTTCAAAACACTCAAGGTCACCGAACAAGAAATACAAAGACAATAAAACAATAAAATACAGATATCAATAAAATCAACTGCTAATAATGATAAAATACATAATGACATTAAACAGAATAAGCAAGTTTGAAAAAGTGAGTTTTAATGTTGGATTTAAATGAGAGCAAAGAATCAGAATTACGGATGTGCTGTGGAAGAGAGTCCCAGGAGGTGTAACGCAGAGATGGAGAGGGAGGAGCCAAGACTTGGGGCAGGTGTGTAACAGATAAGAAGATCAGCGAGGTACAGAGGTGCCAAGTTATGGAGAGCTCTGAAAGTGAGGAGGAGAACCTTGAAGTCGATGTGATATTTTATGGGTAACCAGTGAAGATGTTTCAGGACGGGCTGATGCGTTCCTTGGACCTAGTTCTGGTGATGATCTGAGCAGCTGTGTTTTGAACACGCTGGAGTTTAGGGATGATTTTGAGAGGAGGATCTGAGAGGAGCGAGTTACAGTAGACTAATGGAGAGGTGACTGGAGCATTGATCAGGATGTCTGTGCTGGTGGGGGTACGGACTGAACGGAGACGGTCGATGTTTCGAAGATGAAAATATGCAGACCGAGTGATGTTAGTGACGTGAGAGTCAAAAGATAAAGGATGACACCCACACTCAGCTGTAGGGGAGGGAGAACCTGTGGAACCATCAACTTTATTGAACTTATTGTTACACCCACCCCTCTTACATCTACAGTATCATCCAGTAATTTACTATTCATGGTAACTTGGTCATAACATTTGTTTTTTAGTTAGTATTTTATATGTCCATATCTATAACTGGCATGCATTCATATTCACATGCCATATGATCACGCATCAATAACTTTTGAACATGTTAAAATTCTTTCTAGATCAATATACCAGGATGCAGTAATAACTGATAAATTCATTAAATGTTAACAGTATTGATTATAGCAGTATTATTTCCCACATTGATATGCAGTGATGACCATCTTCTTAAATGATGTTTTATGTTTTATGTTTGCACCGTGCTTGATTTCCATGATCCAACCGTTCCACAGCTTCACCCCACGTACTGATGTGCAAAACATTTTTCTTGTGGTTCTAAATTCTAAAGTTTTAAATTCACCTTTTTCCCTTGAGTTTTAAAGTCCTTCCTGTTTTGAAAAAAGCTTTGAATGTTTCTTGTAAGAAATCATTTTTGCTTTAAACAAGATAACAGCTGTTTGTAATTCCACCATGTCAACAAATTTTAGCAGCTTAGATTTTATGAATGGTGCGTATGATCCAAATAACCGACCTTATTGATTACTCTTATGGCTCCTTTTTGCAACGTTATTAATACCATACCACTTTATTTATAGAGCACTTAAAACAGCAACACTGTTCAGTGATTTGTAGACATACATCAGTATTTTGAACTGGATTCGAAAGTGAACTGGTAACCAGTGCAGGGAGGCCAAAACTGGTGTAATGTGCTCTCTTTTGCCTGTACTGGTTAAAAATCAGGCTGCTGCATTCTGGACCAGTTGTAGTCGTGCAATGGAGGTCTGACTGATACCAAACAGGAGTGAAACCACAACATATTCTCAATCCGGGGTTAATGACCAGCCAACCATAATGCTGGTGACCATCTTATCACCAGCAAACTAGTTGGTCCACTAAAGGAGTGCACTGCTTAGTGGGGACAACAGTTGACTTGGGACTCCCAAGTCAATCTAACTTTTTGATTAGCTGTGCCCACCGATGACGGGGTGTTAATTTGTCGTGAAAGTAATTGTTTTTCCAACTCCCCCAATATTTAGTGTTTTGTTGTTTTATTACTTATTTTGTGTTTTGCAAGATTCTTCTTTATTTTTAATGTTTATTTTTATTTGTTTATTTATTTTTATGGTCTCGTGCTTTAGTAATGCTTGCTTACTATTTAATGTACAGCAATTTTGCCAACATCTGTTGATTTGAATTTAATTTATTTTTTTTTGTAAATAAACTTGAACTTAAAATGTGCCTAGTACTTTGAGATAATTTACTAACGTTCAGCCAGAATGGATTCTAAAAGTTATGGCGAGGTTTAAGGCACAAATCTCACAGAAGTCAGTCAGTTGTAGATCAGCTTCTTACCACATCAAACCAGTTTTAATAAAATCTGCCCAGTGGTTCATGAGATATTTTCTTTATTGTACAGACAAAAATAAATAAATAAAATAAACTCTGGCATCAGCAAATACACTTCCCTTTGCTTTCAGTGGCAGGTGATAATGAGTAGTCAAACTAAAAGCTTCCAGCTGACTAACAGCTACTTCTATCTGTTCAGGACCCAGTGGGATGTGATGTACAGTCAGACTTGTCTCTCTTCAGACCTGTAGCCACATGTCCCATGCACTCCACCTCATCTTCACCTTGGCTTGTCACTCAGGTATGTGATGATAAGCTGTGTTTACAGTCAAGCGGTGACCTCAGTGGTGTTTAAGCGGCGTACCAGCCTATGTCATGACCGAGCTGAGGTGGCTCAAAGGTAAACCACCACACCCTCGTCCTCAGTACCCCAGGAATGAGGAAATGTTTACATATTCACAAACTGCAAAGGTTTTACAAAGTTGGACACACACACACACACACACACACACACACACACACAATATAAATCATATCGGCAGTGAAAGAAAAAATTCCGAACCCATTTCCTCTCAAAGCTAATTAAAGGGTGATGTTGACACACACATCTGTCACACTCTATAGTTCACATAAACAGAATAAACTGAGGACACATATTTTTTCTATGTGACTGTTTGCTTTATACACAATAAAAAGGTTGACGTACACTCAAAATACATGTAGGTCGATTTCGCAAGTCTCATAGGTTTTTTTTTTTACCAGGGGGCCAATTTACACGTGTAGCTTGAAGTGATAGTGATCTACAAGGTGGGGAGGGGCAGGGCCAGATTAACTCTTCAATGTAACCTGGGCAACAATCTTCAAGGGCCCCATCATCACGACCCAGAATCACCATAATCTGTCAAAATACAGAATAAATTAACACAGTAAATATACTTCAAATTCTATCAAGTGTATTTTGATGTTTAAAAATCCAAATGCTCATAGAACTATAAATGCTTTGTCCTCTTGTTGATGCAAATCATAAAGACAGAGTTAAGTTGAACGCACCTTGAACACCATACGACACCATGTGTACTTGTTTAGCAACATGTTGGCCAATGGTGTCAGAAGCATTTGTAATGGGGGGGGGGGGGGGGGGGGGTGCTGGGAATCCTCCCCCAGAAAATTTTGAATAAAGTAGATGTCATTTCCTGCATTCTGGTGCATTTTAACAGTTGTTAAACGTCTAGTTTAACCTACATAAGTAAGCACTTGATTCAGTAACTATTTTAGAGCTAATGGCACAACAAGAAGTAACCTGACCAACAGCTGATTCAATGGATTAAAATTATTATATATTCAAAGGTGATGATTTGATGCCCACATTAAAACTAAATAACTGTAACTTAGTTGACTTCAAATGTAATAAGATTATCAATGAATGTTTGAGACAAAGGATTTACTGATTATAACAAAGATTCCTTCAAGAAACCTTTTTTTTCATTCAACCTTTATTTCTACAGGTAAATCCCATTGAGCCTCGAGGACTCATTTACAAGAGAGACCTGATTTCAACAAATGATGACAACAATGGACAACAGCAACAACAATAAACAATTGTAAAAAATCATACAGATTTTTTTTTTTTTTTACAAATAAGATGGCAAAAAGAGTAACAAAAACAGTTAGATTCTAAGGTGAATGTAGAAAACTAAAAACAGGAACATGTCTGCATTGGTCCCTGCCAGGAGTCCAACAGATTCTTAAAGACATTTAGAGAGGTCAAAGGTCAAGAGCTTCAGATCTTTTTGTAAGATATTC